ACTTCCGTCCCTCCTTTTTACTAAACTATTCAGTTAGGCCGATGGGGACTTTGATGGCTTCGTAACTCCGTTCCTGATTGTATTTTCGGTCAATTCTTCCACTAGACGGTTTATTTCCCTCAGAGGAGAGGGGTTGTATGCATCTGAGTGGCTGCCAGATCGGTAAACTTCTTCGGTGTCTGTTCTTCCCAGCTCAACACCTTCCCATGAGACCATACTCAGCCGGTAGCTCTAGAAGTTCTTTCCTCTTGCTGTCGGTGACATACCCAAGTTGGACGCAAAGGTGGTCGAAATTGTTCATGGCTATGGCCACAGTTTGGATTAGGGCCTTGCAAATATCGTTGATCCCTTTCCTCAGTACCAAAAGGTCTCTTGAAGTCTCAATCTCTTAGTGAATAGAGAAGGTGCCTTTCGCAAAATTTAGGACGATTTGGTCCTACGTGGAAAATCGTTGCCAAGACTCACGTGCCATGGTAGTTCTGGGCGTATAGGAATTTAGCTGCCTAGGTTTCCTTGCCCATATTTACCTGTAATGCCATCTCCCCTTCTACCACCCATCTCCTTTCCTTCCGCTGATCGCAACCTATTAGGCGGTGAAATGATCCTTTTCTTTTGGCGCAAGGTTGGGGAACGTCCATCTAGTTTGTATGGCGGTCACAATAGTGGTGACCGTTTTCTTGTCCTTTGGTATTATTATGCTCCGTGTTTAGGGTAATTTTTTGGTATAAAGGCTATTGCATAAACGATTGCACAATCTACATTGGATTGCGTCATGTACAGTCATTTTCCATTGGGGCATTACCAGCCCAGCAACGGGACGTTGTATTTCAGTCAGCCAATCCTCTGTTAAATGGTCACTTTTTCACCCACCCAAACAGTAGCGCTCATGGGTGTTTTGAGCCGTCAACTCCGCTGTCGCACCAGTTTTTTCTCAGTGGAACTTGTTTTTAGCCTAAAACAACAATTTCGTAGTTTATCTTCGAATATGTTGCAGATGATGGACCCTTGCGGACAAGTCTTTATACCTCGTGGCTTTATATCAATAGCACTGAAGGTGCTCGTCAAAGACGCCATACGGCTAAGAGAAAACAGGCAAGCTCAAGGTGAAGTGTGTTGCGCAATTAATTAATTAATGGTTTTTTTAGCATTGAGGTACTCAAAAGGGTGGTGTAATAGGTGATGCTTTCGTGCTGTATGATTCACAGTTACTTTTTATTGCCCGAGCCCCCTGGAAGGATGTCATTTTTGATGCACCAACCGAGGCACATCACTGTTTTGGGCTGGTAAGAGAGTAGGTTCTTACAAAGACGACATGAACAGAACCTCGCAATACTTGGGCGGGGCGAAAAAAAAATCACCCTCGGTTGATATCGTTCCGTGACATGTCCAAAGCCATCTAGACCAGCTATTCGCCACCTTGTTCCCTTATAGCGACAGGCGAAGTCCTGACGGTACTGTTTTATTGATAAAGTGAAGCTCCAACGTCTGAGATGGTGTTTCCGTTTTTTTCACTCGTTTGCTTTTATATTCTGATTTTGGGGGATTGGCAATCATCGTCATGACCTTGAGGGTCCGTTTATCTCTGGTGGGTAGGGGGCAATTGGATTATCCCTTCCGTCTGACTATTGCACTACCACCACTTTTATTGCAGCTGTTTTTTGTCTTTGGTGAATTATTTTCGTGCGAGGAGGGCTTTCAGCTTTGACTGAGAGGCTTATAATCCACAATCGGTTAGGTAGAAAGGAGTTGCCACACTTGGTAGGCATCAGATCACATAATCGTGATTTGAGGAGTCTTCCAAATTCTTTTTAATCTTGATTTGGCCTCCAGTCAGGCGTTGTGTGCTATTTCACCCGATTTGTGCGTGAATTTGGGCTTAAAGTTGCAGCCTACTCCGCAAATTTTGTCTTTTACCCCTTTATTCTCTATGCAATTCCACCTTTATTTGCATGATATGCACCGCCAGGCTCTCTCAAGAAGGATTTCTGTTGAAATTTCCCGAAGTACAAAAAAGATTTCACAGCAGTTTTGATTACGCTTTGGCTCTATCTACCTACTTTTGAGTCGCCACCACTTAGGTCCTGCCACTCTGCCATGGTTTTCGACTTGCGTCGTCGGAGTTGCGCTTTTGCTGAATGGAAACTAATTTTAGCAAACAGCTGATTTTAAGGGGCATTTAAACATTTTAAAAAGCGAAGATTTTTGTATCTTTTAAATGCGCTTTTAAACCAATATTTTTGATTCCCTTTTTTTCCTCTGTACCCGGGGGAGGTGAACTGTATCTGCGCTTTCCCACCGGAGCGGAGGTTTTCCTTTCATCCGGAATACGGATCAATCCAAATTTCTTTTCTGGTGTTGCTTTGTCTAAATTTTTCATGCCTAACCCAAGTGCTTTCCCTTTAACTTTTATGGAACTTTGGTTTGGTAATCGCTGGGCGCATTTCCCGTTGCATGTCTTCTGGAGGGAACCCTTAAATCCACCACTTTTGTAGCTTAGAAATTACCTTAAATCCGACAAATCTCTCCACAATGTGAAGGAATTGTCATCAGTTGCGAATATTTTTTTAGGGTTTACAAACTCAGATGTCATCTTTTGCCTTCAGCTCTTTTCGAATTCCAGTTTTTTTCTTGTCAGTCTAGAGCTTCTGACCAGTTAGGTGAATAGAATGTGTCTCGTTCTACATTTCTACCTCCTCATTTCCTCACTTAGAATTGCATGTCGTCTTTGTCTTCGTCTCCACGCGCTTTGAGCTCGAGTTCTGTGTTCGAGGCGTGCCACCTTATATCGCCACGGTGAAGTCAAGAGGATTTTGTTCTCCGGTGAAGCGTCACTATTTTAATCGATCTCTCCTCTAAAAATAGATCCGTTTGACACTATGACTGCGGGTCTGAGGAACTCTAAACCGGTGGCTCAGTTGGCAATACTAACGGTCACATGCATCTGAGCTGAAAGGAGCACGCCGTGCACGCGCAAGCCCAAAGCCTCCACCTTTTTCAACAATTTCAGTCAATCATAAATGAGCAGGACTACGAGATTTGAGAAAAATAAAGGACCGCCTCGAAGCACTGCGTCCCCTCATTACTTTATTTTTAAGAATTTTTTAACCCTTGTGATGTTTCTTGAAGGGTTGACCATCTACTTTGTGTAGTCGAGTTGGGACGGATTTCGTACTTGTCAATGGAGGAAAAAACTTGGGTTACTTCATTGTGTATGTGAGTGCCGTTGTTATGACGGTCATTAGAAGAGTGTAGCCCCTCTAGTTCGCTTAAAGAAAGTGCTTTGTTACGCGATTGATTGATTCACGACCCCTGACCTCATTCGACTGACATCGTCACCCACTCGCTTTTCAAGTGGGCTGAAGCCGTATCCGTCAATTCGGGGCTTTGAAACCAAAGTACTTTGGTTGGAGGGATATAATTTATTGTCGTATCGCGTGGACAATGCTTTTGATTGGTCGTCATGCCAAACTAAAGCACTTAGAGAATGGAATTGCGATTCAAAAGTTGTTTTATTTGAGCAGTACTGGCGGGTTGAAGGTAAAATGGGTGACAGTCAAAGTTCTTTTGCACTACTTTATTTGAAATGGCAAGATTGAGAGAAGTTGCAGTGGCTCATGTTCGGACTTGGCGTGTGATTAATCACTCCTTCCAACAAATGAGTTGTTTTTGTGGTTAGCGGGGGTTAAGGTGTGTTGCGTAGACTAGATGTAAATTACACCCAAGAACGAAAATTGATATTTGTGTGTCTTTGTGCCAGAAGCAGTGATTAACCCCTACCGGTATGTGCATTCTCCTGTCCCTGAACGACTTGACGTCCAGCCGGCCACAGTTACGACTATAAGGACTCTAGAAAGGTCTCTGACAGTGATTTGAGAAGGGACAAGAAGTGTAGCTACCGAGGTTGTAGGAAAACCGAACGTGGCACTTCAGCGACCTGCTGATGGGGCAGCGTAGCCACAAGTGCTTGTTTTCGTTTTTTCAAGCCATCTCATCCTTAATGGCGTTCAGTTGTCGGCAACTTCTGCTTGGAGGAATTCAAGTGATTCACTATTCCACTTTAGCGTCAGAAACGATGGTCAAGTCAAAATTCGTGCTAGAAGAATGTTCTGCCATACTTTGTTGCTGAATAAGGCGATTCAAACTTGATCTGGCTGCATTTTATAGGGCCAATGCGCCTTGGCATGGAATTGGAAAGCTGGAAGACGTTAATTTGAGGGAGTCCAAGCTGTACTTCCACTTGGCACCGTGCTACACTTATTCACCTGTTTCAACGCTTACTACCCGATAAATAAAAGGCATTTTTGGTGTGGAAAGATGTTTGCGAGTGATTGCATTTACTGTTCCCAAAGGAGAATTCCTCTTTCCTGCACTCTCATGACAGGTGGCTATTCATCTTCTCTCCAAGTTTAAGCCCTACACGCACTGTTTGGTCATTCATAGGAGTAACTGCTGTGCCAAGAAACGGTTTCATCACTACTTAGACCCATGAAGCGTCTACTCAGGGATTAATAACCCGGTACCGTACTGTGCTCACCTTGAAGTCCTCTGTGGCTATCAACGGGTTGTACGACCTCGTTCACAAGTGCTTTCACCACCAGTACGTGCTGTGTCATGTGCACACACTGACAGTCTTTTTCAAGTCTGATTGATGGGACGTAGGCTGACTCCTGGTGTGAAGGTCATGGTGTAATAGCGTTTTCAAGTCGTGCAGTCGGCGGTCTCAGTTTAGTTTGAACGTCTCTTTCACATCGAACACATTATGTTAGCTTGAATGAGTCCTAAAGGCAACCTTCTTGTCTGGCTTTATCATCGGCACCTTGGACTATCTACCAACCAGTTTGAACTGCCTAATTATTCTATTCGACTAATTGGGTGTCACGAATGCAATAGTTGGTAGCACTACTTAACCTTTATTCTTCAAGGTAGCTCGACGGAGAGTATCCATATCTCTCATATCATCGCCTCATTGTAATCTATTCTCATTTCATTCCCTCTAGCCTTCAGAGGCCCTTCTACGGCGAAGGCCGCCAACTTTTCCTCCTCCTGAATCACCTACAGGCGTCATTCTCTCTCGCTTCTCTAGTGAAATGCGTACTCGCGTCTCACAATTCGAGGAACCAGATCGTCAAACCCCCAACTGGAAGGCGGTACGTCTGCGTGTAAGACGTCGAGAGGAGGAGCATCGACGCGTTGTCGTCGCAGCACGCCGTAGCCTCCATCTTGACGTCCATGTCGGTGGAGGTGAGTTCGTTTGCCGCTTCATCAGCTGGCTGACTAGTTAGATCACTTCTCCATCAATGTATGAAATGGTAGGTCAGGTCGTCACGGCTTCAAATGCCTTTGTCCTTCCGATTTTGTTTATCTGTCTCCTTTTCTGCATCCGTTCTAGCGTCTTAAACAATAGGTTGAGTAGGTTGTTGAACTTGTAGCTCTTTTCCGTTCAAGGTTCTCCCAAAGTTTAGAAATGACTTGGATCTTAACTGTCTCGGATTTATGCTATGAGTCCGCTTTCGTACCCCTGTAAGTGGCTTTGAAAAGTCAGCTACCTATGACCAATCCTTCAAAATCGTAGGTAGACGAGTTGCCGTCTTCACTGGTCAGCTGCTGGTACCCTGTTTCTATCTCCTATGGTAGTTGCTGTTACAGAATAGACACTCAAAGCACTCTACATCCAGCACACCAGCAGTAAAAGGAAACAAACTTGAGGATCCGGAATGTAGCCCATCCCTTCATGCATCTAGCTTCCTTGATTAGCTACCGAAATTCCTCTGACTTCTTTTCCATCGTATCCTCTCTCAGGTGAGTGCGCACCCTCCATCACCTCAGGCGTGTCCCCTGCGTTGCCCACCACCAACATCATGGGACGGGGCTTATCTCGTAGCTCTGAGAAACCATCCATCACCGATCTAGTGCAAGCCTGCGCCGCCAGTTCCCGATATGGCGTCACCTCCGCCTCAACCCTCCTAGAGGCCTCCCTCATTGTCCGCCTCCCTCAATCTAGCGGTGATGACGATGCCGCCTTGACCAACAACCGTTACGGCACATTGGACCGTCTTCAAGCGACTTTCGGGTCGGCGGCCATAATGGAATGGTTTCGGGAATATGAGGCGCCTTATCTTCTGCGCAACACCTTTAAAGATGGAGATGTGCTGCAGATTCCCACGTGGTTTCATGGTAATGCTTGAGTTGGTTGAATGAAATGCAATAGGATTTGAGAGGTGGAACAGGCATTCACTTTGGTCTTTGTTGGTTACTTTTGGAGGACTTCAGCAATCAGTGTGACGTAAGGAAGCATTTTCTAGCAATTACTCACTTCAAAGTTAAGGCCAGTCAAGTACGAAAGGATGGTGATCTCCAGGACACACCAGTGCGTACCCATCGTCCTCTGAGTGTACTCACATCCTTGGCACCGGAGTGTGCTTACCAATACTGTTACAAGTGTGGTGTTTGAGGTCTCTTTGAAGGTGGTCTGAGGTGCGGAATGCTGGAATTTGCCTGCAGAAGAGCGAAAAGCTACCGGCGCATATACTACTGTTTCAGCTTCCGTTCATGCCGTCACAAAGTAGTCTTTATATTTCAGATATCTCACAAATTTCGGGGAATCCAACAACAACTTGGCTATTTGTGGAGCCTTTGCTTTAGAGCGCAAACATCGAATAGTACTACCAAACTACCACAACATCATGGTTGTACCGAGCCTTCTCTTTCAGGCCCTCTAAAGCGCCTTACCACTGAAGCACTGCTCCGCGGTCAACCAGACAACAGTTTCCTGGTCCGTATCAGTGACTGTTTCCTCGGCTACATCATCTCTCACGTCGCCTCCAGTGGTGCCTGCACTCATGTCTTCCTGCATCTACTCAAGCCTCTCAAAACTGGTGCCGAGGAGATCGGTACCCGGGAAGAGCGGGAGCTGCAGAATAGTCGTGCTAATGCGGATCTACGGTTCTACCATCTGCGGGGTCAGCGAAGGTTTTTTCCATCAATCACTCAGCTTGTCAATTTCTACAAGGCAAGTCATTGTTCTGTCTTGATGCAGAAATAGAGGTATTGTCTGATTCAATAGGCTTGGTAATTCCTATTATTCGTTTGTTTGCTTGAGCTCTTCAAGGTCACCTAGGTGATTCGTTATGGCCCTTTAACTTATCTCTCTAAACTCTGCTACCACCTGAATGGTACGGTATCCTGTTCACACGCATAACTGAATGTTAATAACTCTTCAACTGCTCACTTTATCCCCTTGGATGAAGTGGAAGCTGACCGTTAAATCTTGTTGACCAAGATAAAGTGGGTCTGTTGGATTTTCATGCCACCTTCCGTCCCAACGTAGCTTCTTCCGCCTGACGATGCTCAAACCCCATCTCAATGTTAGACCAGTATCGAAATTGATGTCTGTTGACCTCCGTCTTCTCTGCTAGGACCACTCGATTGTTGACGGGAAGGAGGGCAAGGAGGAGGGGATGTACCTCCAGCATGCCGTCGGTCAATCACTCCCTCCCGTCGCCCCCACCCCTCCCTCCGCCGCCGTATCTTCCAGTCCTCCGTTTGCTGACTACTTCGCTTTTCTCTTTCACCGTAACGATGCAGATGCTGTTACTGCCTTCTAATTATTTTACTAAGCTTGAAAAATAAAAAAAACAAGGCAGTAACGGTAACTATGATGTCATAGTTTGATTAGGGGTGGGTGTTACTGAAGTTTTGTAAGTAGGTAGTTCCACATGATTTGCCCGCTTTTAGATAATTCCTTGAATTGCAAAAAACCAAGGCGTTCCCTAGGTGAGTGTCTACTAATGAAATAAGTTCAATCCGCCCAAGTGTTCGTCAAGAATGTTTATCTGTGGCTCAGTGTGCAAACTATACATGGCTATAGTACTTTATCTGTTCCAAAATAACAGTACGCGGCAAATACCCCTTATAACAACAGTTGAGAATAGTTGGCATTGGTGGTTGATATATGGGCGGTCA